ATAATTAATATGTGTTATTAGCTCTTGATAACATGTATCAAGTTTGTTTACATTACATCTAGCTTCAGGAACTAGAGCACACAAAGTCGAAAGAGAAGAAAGACAGTATTGGAACGAATTCAGTTGCTGGATGAATTCTTGCCATCAGCTCTCTGTAAGTTAATAAACATGAACTGCAGAAATTCGCATGCACTCACACGCACGCACACATGCACACGCACGAACGCACGCACGCACGCACGCACGCACGCACGCACGCACGCACGCACACATGCACACGCACTCGTGCATGCACACGCACGCACACACGCACGCACGCACGCACACATGCACACGCACTCGTGCATGCACACACACGCACACACGCACGCACACACACACGCACGCACGCACACTGACTCACCGAGGTAGTACTGTGAGGCGCTGGTGACGGCTCCGTGATCCTGCCCCGAGGTGGCGCCGCCGCCGGTGTGCATGTGGTGTCCGTGCTCGCCGTAAGTCTGCACGACCAGCTCCCGCTCCGGCAGCCGCCGAACCTTCAACGACCCGTCCGCGCCGCAGGAGAACACGTGCTGCTGCGTGTCGACACACAGCTGTATGACGCCCACGCCTGCACACAACAACAACAACAACAACAACACCGTATGTGAGAGCGCGCTAATCAGTTTAACTAAGAACCCAACGTTGTAACGCGGTGCGTGCGTGACAGTCCTAACTGTTTCGGAACGAGGCTGCTGCGCTGCCTGCGTGAGCGTGACGTACGCTATGTTGCGGAACAGGCCTGGCTGCGTCGCGTGCTCGCCGGGGAAAGTGTACATGAGTTGTGAACCGCCCAGCCGCCCGAGGATCTTGATGTGCTCCCGGCCGACCCGTCACAAGAAGTCCTCGGCCGGGCCGCCCGTTGGGTTTCATTCCAGACGAGGAGGAGGTATCTACGCCTTCTGCAGAAAATTCCCAAGACGCAGCGCATTCATTGACCTGAGCGCCAGAAATAATGAGAGAGAGGACGGAGAGGAGGTAGAGAAGGTCACGCGGTCCACACGTGAGAGAGAGCACACGCCTTGAGTTTCCATACAGGAAGGACGACGGAACAAATCTCTTCAATCGATTTTTCCATAGGATATTTTTCATCGTCTCATTCGAACAGCACAGCTTTATCGCTCATTGCATGTCGAGCTCTGCGGTGGCGCAACGCGATTTGCAATGTAGATGCAAATACGATGTGATCCTCGTGATAAGTGTTGAATGAGAGTGTGTGAGTACGTCAACAGTGTCCTTGTGTAAGTGTCGCTTGTCTAGTGTGCCTCGCATCCCGTGTGTGTGCGGTAAAACTTGCAAGCCTCGGATCGCATGTACTAAATCGCCGTCGCTGGCTGCTATCGCGTAGCAGTGCCGTTGCGACTCTCTGCCTACAACGCTAACACTTGATTTCCGCGTGCGTAGCGTGAGTTTTACGCTGAGCTTCTACTGCTAATGTGTGTATCGCTACCGATTGTATGACATGGTCTAGTCATGTGTGCGTGAGCGAGCGGCTTCTACAGGCGTTCCATTGAGCTCTATACAGCGGCATAGTTACTCGTAGTCGAGAACTATAGCTTACATTAAAAATGGAATCGGTAGTCACAAAATATCTCTGTATAACCTAGCAGGGCACCAATGACCTTAACAGTTGCGTAGATCTAATGAGCTATTGATGTTGCCTATTAGATTTCGAGAGAGATTGACCCAATGACTTTTCAAGCACAAAATCAACCCCATCGAAAGTACTCTATAACTATCGAAGAGGAGAACTCACCCTCAAATCTATGCAACGTTATATCTGTTTCCTACAGAAGGCACTGATGCAAACAACATCGAGAGAAGGAGCACAACAGACGATACCTGTCTGTGGTGTCCAGAGAAGCGCAGCTTCATGCCCCCGGGTAGAGCACATCAGAAGAAGAGTCGAAGAGAGCATGAGACTAGAGAGATGAGACCTAGAGAGGAACGACGCGATAGACAGAAGTAAAAGAATGAGATAATGTAGTATGAGCTAGAGAGAGAAACCGATGCAGCAGACGACTTGATAGGATTCGGCGAGTAAGACACGGAGAGGGTCGAGGACCAATTTAGCAAGCGGAGGAGCGAAATAATATGTAAAGAGATGGTCGATCGAGAGTAAGCTTTCGTATGAAGAAATTGATGAGATCATAGAATTCCTAGCCATAGTATAGAAGATTAAAGAGTTTAGGAAACAAGATGAGCTAGATGCACGTATCACTGTAAAATGAGATTAGATCACCCTGAGTAAGTAAGCGAGACAGATATACTGAGATGATGTTTGTGTGTATCGTGAGAGAAGAGATAGAGTGAAAAACAAAGTCAACGATGAGTATTCATAATTAAATTATCAGCAGAGAAGTTAAAAATCGCGAGGCATATTCTGGCAGATTTCAGAGAATTTAGAAAAATGAACTTGATCTAGATCAATCAGTTAGACGAAGTTCAACTGGTGCGTTATGAGTAAGCTTCAACGAGCAGTGATAGACAGTCCTCGATCAGACCGGCGAGTATGCAAACAAGAGAGAGAGACAGAGAGCGCAATGTATGCAACTGACGAGGCAGTTGCGAAGACCGAGAGAGAGAGAGAGAGGAGAGAGGAGAGAGAGAGAGATCGCCCATAGCCGAAGTTCTGAGACCAGATATGGGCCAGATCAGAGGAGCCATGCGAGGAGGAGTAGCCCAATGGCATCGCACGGGAGAGAGAGAGAGAGAGAGCGAGGGAGGAAGATTCACTTGACGACCAGAACCACGCAGAGGAAGAGCAGAGAGAGGAGACGAGAGAGTTGAGTAGAGTTGATTGATTGGAGAGAGACGACGCTTAAGGAGAGATTCGAGCAGAGAGAGAGAGACTGAGCGCGAGAGCAGGCGAAGAAAAAACGAGAGAGAGAGCAGAGCGAGAGGACGAGAGAGAGAGACCCGAGAGAGAGAGAGACGAGAGAGAGCGAGAGCGAGAGGGGACGACAGACAAACAGAGAGAGAGACACAACAAGACGCAACGAGTACGAGAACGTCGAGACCCGAGAGGGAAACGACCCGAGGAGTCAACGATCCGACGAGATGACCTAGCCTGTGCTGAGGTAAGCGGACGGAACTTTAATCCGCACGCCCCACCCGTCCGAGAAGGATCAACTTTTTTTTACGATGCTCTCCTCGCGCTGACATGATCAAACTGATGCTGGCGACCGTATACCTATAACAATACGCACTTATTACTGATGACGCCAGGCGAGGACCACCGTGGGTCCGTGAGTTGAAGCCCCAAGCAATTTGCGAACGATAAAACACAAGAGCACCAACGAATGATTCAGAGCGAGATAGAGAGAGAAACGTGGCGCGAGCCGTGGTCGTGACAGTTGAACGCTGCGCGAAAAACACAAGAGCAACGAATGATCGAGCAGAAAACGATGCATCTAAATCCCATTCTGTCATAAGAGAGAGGAACGTGGCGCGAAGCCGTGGTCGTGGACAGTTGAAACGCAGGTGTGGCTCACAGACACCATGCTTTTCGCCTCTGTGTGCTGTGTGTGCGTGTGTGCGTGCGTGTGTGCCGTGCGTCGGTGGTGTGTTCACTACCTTGGCACCGCAGCGCCTGCGCTGGGCAGCAGCGTGTCCCACAAGACACACGTTTCTTGCTCTGTCGTGCGTGCGTGTCGTGCGTGCGTGCGTGCGTGCGTGCAGTGTGTGCGTGCGTGCGTGTGTGCATGTGTGTTCCACGACACCCTTGCACTACAGCCTTGCGCTGGGGCAGCGAACGTCGTCCGGCACAGACACCACGTTCTTAGCTCGTGGTGCGTGCGTGCGTGCGTGCGTGCGTTGCGTGCCGTCGTGTGGCGTGCGGGTGTGTGCATGGTGTCACACAGCGCTTGCACACAGCCTTGCGGCTGGCCGGCGGTACCAGCGTGTCCCACGATGACACACGTTCTCTCGCTCTGTGTCGGCGTGTGTCGTGCCGTGTGCCGTGTGTGGCCGTGACGTGTGTGTGTGCCCCGTCGTGCGTTGCGTGGTTCATCGTGTACCGTTTGGCACGCTGAGGCCTTGTGTTGCGCTGGGGGCACTGCAGGCGGTGTCCGGCACAGACACACGTTCTTGGCTTCTGTCGATTTGGCGATGTGAGACCTGGTGTGCCGGTGTCCGAAAAGTCCGGTCGGTGCTAGTGTCCGTGTACGTGTGTGTGTAGTAGCGTGAGTCTGCTTCACCGTCTTGTCGTGTGGAACGTCTCTTGTGTCAGCAGCGTCTGCTAACACCCCGTAACTATGTCATCGTCACTTGTCACAGTGTGCCACGCGCGCACGCACGCAGCGTGTATTTGACTCCTGCTTCTTAACCTAGATGCCGTGCGTGTCTGTCGCTCGCACGCGTGGGCACCTCGCCCACAAATGCTCACTACGCCATGCGCCGCATTACGATTACCCAGCCCGTTAGTACTGGCAACGCGAGCGGCCACGCATACGCACGCACGCGTCCGATTAGCTGAGAAATTTGGAACTCATAGGCCTCGAGTTTTCCATCGCGGCCACATACATATATACGGGAAAACAAAAAACAAAGAAATGTCGAAATTATCGCGGAGTGCCGGGAGGTCCAGATACTCCATAGAATATTACTGTCGGAACTCCCTGATTGACCTAGTGCAGAAGAGTCGCGTGTGAACTCCTGAAAATAAAATAACTGGACAAATAATAACCCCTACGACCTCGACCAAAAAAAAAAAAGGCCGGAATTACCCGTATCTTTCAGAACAAAAAAACTAAAATAAAGTACCAAAGAAACTTTGGCAGACGTGCAACCGCATGAATCTTAAAACTATACACATGCGTTATTGTTAATATCTTTAATTTTGAACTTCAGACTGCAGACTCCCTCTTTTTGCTGCGGACTCCCTCTTTTTGCTGAGGACTCCCTCTTTTTGCTGAGGACTCCCTCTTTTTAAGGGTAGGGAGTCCGTTGGATTCCCGTGTTCAAAAGTTAATTTCTACCTCTGCATACCTGTTCAGGTGTAGTATGTCATACTCAGTGTCATCGTCGAGCCAAGATGGCTGCTCGAGGATCTTACTGATGTCCAGCTCCTGTAGATCCTTCGACGTTGCCATGGCGATCGTTGTGTGAGAGACCTGACGGGGAGGATGGGAATCAGGGCGTGAGCCGAGTGAAAGACGGAGACACAGCAAGCGACGTAATATCGCAAGTTACAGAGACGACGAGATTTGTGTCGAACAGATTACAAATATCCGCTCCTTTCATTCACGTCCGTCGTTTCGATAACTTTTGCATCTCTCTCAGTTTTTAAAATGAGTCACACCTATGCAAAAATATCTACAAATAGTTAACGATAGGGAAGACAAATTGAGTGTCAGTGATGGACTTAGCAGACACCCCCCAGTTTGGGACCGGTAACTTTTGAGCAGGACTGCTGGCTGCGTTTTCTAGATTTTACAATTGGTTATATATAATGGAAATGAAAATGTTCGAAATCAGAACTAGTTGGGTTTTCAACTCATTTCGAACTAGTTGGTTCACCAGGCGTCATGTCGAAGGCGTGGTGGCTGTCCGGAGCTGGGAAGCGTGTGGTGTACACCAGCCTTACCACCACCACTCACTCACTGCTGTGTTACCACCAGCCTACCACCACTCACTCACTGCTGTGTTACCACCAGCCTACCACCACTCACTCACTGCTGTGTTACTGCAGCAGCGCTACGCCTCCCACACACGTGTGTGTGTTACCAGCCTACCCTCGTTCACCACCAGCAGCCTACCCTCGTTCACCACCAGCAGCCTACCCTCGTTCACCACCAGCAGCCTACCCTCGTTCACCACCAGCAGCCTACCCATCGTTCCCACACCAGACCTACCCTTCTTCACCAGCCGCAGCAGCTACCCTCGTTTCATCCCACCAGCAGCCTACCCTCGTTCACCACCAGCAGCCTACCCTCGTTCATCCCACCAGCCAGCCCTACCGCTCGTTCACACCGCAGTCTTACCTCTCACACCAAGCCAGCCTACCTCGATTCTACACCACAGCCACCCTTCGTTCACCCAGCAACCTTTACCTCTTCGTTCGACCACCAGCAGCCTACCTCAGTCCACACCAGCAGCCTACCCTCGCTTCACACATCGTGTGGTTACCAAGCCTACTCGTTCACCACAGCAAGCCGTACCTCGTTCACCACCAGCAGCTACCCGCGGTTCACACAGCACCTACCCTCGCTTCCCACCACGCAGCCTACCCTCAGTTCACCAACAGCCAGGCCTACCGTCGTTCACCACCAGCAGCCTACCCTCTCGTTCCACCACCAGCACCCTACCCTCGCTTCACACCAGCAGCCTACCTTCTTCGGTTCACACGCAGCCTACCTCGTTACACACCAGGCAGTCTATCCCTCGTCACACCAGCAGCTACCCGCGTTCGACCACAGCAAGCTACCTCGCTCTCACCACACCAGCCTACCTCGCCCACCAGCCAGCCTACCCTCGTCACCGACACCAAGCCTACCGCTCGTTGTCACCACCACCCCCCTGCAGGCCTACCCCTCGTTTCACCACCAGCAGCCCTACCCTCGTCACACAGCAGCTACCCTCGTCACCCCAGCACGCCTACCCTCGGCTTCACCACCGAAGCCAGCCTCCTCGCCCCCGCAGCCACCAGCAGCGCTTAGCCCTCGTTCACACATCCAGCCTACCCTCGTTCACCACCAGCAGCCTACCCTCGCTCACACACGTGTGTGTGTTACCAGCCTACCCTCGTTCACCACCAGCAGCCTACCCTGTTCATCCACCAGCAGCCCTACCCCTCGTTCAGACCACCAGCACCTACCCTCGTTCACACAGAGCCTACCCTCGCTTCACCACCACCAGCCTACCTCGTTCACCACAGCAGCCATTACCCTCGCTCACCACCGGCAACCTTCACCCTTCGTACACACCAGCACAGCTACCCTCGTTCACCACTATCCCAGCCTTATCCCTCGTTCACAACAGCAACCTACCATGTTGATGCAGAAAGCCGTGATGCTGTCCTGTTCCTTGTGGATGATCTTCATCGGCAGGCGGTGGGAATGTGAGTGTCCATCTCCCACGTCCACTCCACTGTCCTGCAGGCGAGAGCGTGAGAACAATGATGACAATCCACCGATAGATCGATCGATCAATCAATCGATACACACACGTCCTGTACCACCCCCCACGTCCACGCACTCCAACTTCACCCACCCCCTCACGTACTCACTAAACCTTACCCACTTCCCCTCCGTACCCACATAACCTTTACCCACCCCCCACTCACGGTACCCACATAAACCTTACCACCCCCTCACCGTACCGACATAAAACCCTTACCCACCCCCTCATCCGTACCCGACATAAACCTTACCACCCCTCACTCGTACCCACATAAACCTTACCCACCCCCTCACCGTACCCACATAAACCTTACCCACCCCCTCACCGTACCCACATAAACCTTACCCACCCCCTAACGTCCACACATAAACTTACCCACCCCTCACGTACACATAAACCTTACCCACCCCTCACCGTACCACATACCTTACCACCCTCAACCGTACCCACATAAACCTTACCCCCTCAGCCGTACACATAAACCTTACCCACCCTCACCGTACCCACATAAACCTTACCCACCCCCTCACCGTACCCACATAAACCTGTAACCCACCCCTCACCGTACCCACCATAAAGCCCTTACCCACCCCCTCACCGGTACCCAACATTAAACCTTACCACCCCCTACCGCGTCCATACCCACATAAAACCTTACCCACCCCTCTCACCGTACCCACATAAACCTACCACCCCTCACGCGTACCCACATAAACCTTGTACCCACACCCCTCACCGTACCCACATAAACTTACCACCCCCTCACCGTACCCACATAACCTTACCACCCCTTCACCGTACCCACATAACCTTACCCACCGCCTCCACCGTCACGCCCACATAAACGCTTACCCACTCCCCTCACCGTCACGCACACATAAAACCTTACCACCCCCTCACCCGCTCCACATTAACTTACCCACCCCCTCACGTACCCAGCATAAAGGCTGCTACCCACCCCCCTCACCGCTCACCCACATAAAGCGGACCTTACCCACCGCCCTCACCGTACCCACATAAACCTTAGCCCGCACGCGCCATCAACCAGCTACCCCACAATAAAAACCTTACCCACCCTCCACTAACACCAGTACCCACATAAAGCCTTTTACCCCCCCCTCACTGCATACCCACATAAACCTTACCACTCCCCCCAAAACCCACACTCTCTACATACACACCTTACCCACTCCCCCACACACCTGCTACAATAACCTGTATCCACTCCCCCCACCACCTGCCTTGACATAAACCCTTACACTCCCCCAACACACCTGCTACATAACTCTATACCACTCCCGCCACACACCTGCTACATAAACCTTACCACCCCCCCCCCCCAAACACACCTGCTCACATAACCTTACCCACTCTCCCAACACACCGCTACATAAACCTTTACCACTTCCCGTCCAACACAGCTGCTACATAATATCCGTTACCCACTGCCCGCCAACACACGCTGCCTACATAAACAAAACTTACCCACCTCCCCCAACAACACCTGGCGCCCTACATAAACCTTCACCGCACTCCCCCAACACTACCTGCTACATAAAACCTTACCCACTCCCCCAAACACACTGCTACATAAACCTTACCCAGCTCGCCCCAACACACCTGCTATCATAAACCTTACCACTCCCCAACAAACTCTGCTAAAACATAAACCTCCCCACTCCCCCAACACACCTTGCTAAACATATAACCGTTACCCACCCCCCCCCCAAAACCACCTGTACATAAACCTTTACCACTCCCCAAACAGATAGCCTGCTACATAAACTTTACCCACTGCCCCAAACACACCTGTACAATAAACCTTACCCACTCCCCCAACACACCTGCCTATCATTAACAACCTTTACCTCACGTCCACCCAACACACGTTGCTACATAAACCTTACCCACTCCCCCCAACACACTGCCTACATAAACACCCTACCCATCTCGCCCCAACTGACACACTTGCTAGCTATAACTACACTCCCCGCGCGGACTCCCCCCACTACACTGCTACATAAACCTTTACCCACCCCCCCCCAACACACCGGCTACATAAACCTATACCACTCCCTGCCAAACACACCTGCTACATAAACGCTTACGCCTACTCCTCAAACATCCTCGCTACATAACCTTTACTCACTCCTCCGCGCGACACCGTGCCTACATATAACACTTACCCACTCCCCCAACACACCTGCCTACATAAACTCTTACATCCCCCCACACACCTGCTCCCTACATAAACCGTCACCCACTCCCCGCCAACACACTCTTGCTACATAAACCTTACCCCCACTCCCCCAAGCACACTGCCCTAATAAACCTTTACGCCACTCCCCCCAACACACCTGCTACATAAACCTTACCCCACTCCATCCCAACACACCTGCTAATAACATAAATACCCACTCTCCCAACACACCTCTACATAACCTTACCCACTCCCCCAACACACCTTCTAACACCTTACCCACTCCCCCAACACACTTGTATCATAAAACCTTACCATCCCCACCAACACACCTGCTCACATAAACCTTACCGCTACTCCCCCAACACATCCTGCTACATAAACCTTACCACTCCCCCAACACACCATGCCTACATCAAACCTCTACCCACTCCCCCCAACACACCTGCTACATAAACCTCACCACTCCCAACCAACACACTGTACAGTAAACCTTACCCACTCCCCCATACCCACACCTCGCCTCACTATAACCTACCCACTCCCCCAACACACCTGCTACATTAAACCTTACTCCCTATCTCCTCCCAACACACCGTGGCTACAAAACCTTACCCACCCCCCTCCCCAACACACCTGCCTACATAACCTCCCCCACTCCCCGCAACACACAAGCCTGCCTACATAACCTTACCCACTTCCCTCCCCAAACACAGCCGGCTACATAAAACCTTACGCCACTCCCCAGAATACACGCTGCTACATAAACCTTACCCAACTCCCAACACACCTGCTACATTACACCTTACCCACTCCCCCCAACACACCTGCCTACATAAACCTCACCACTCCCCCAACACACCTGCCCACATAAGACCTTTACCACTCCCCCCAACACCCCTTGCTAACAATTGAACCTTACCCACTCCCCCAACATCACTGCTCATAAACCTTACCCCCCCCAACACACTTGCTACCATAACCTTACCCACTCCCTGCCAACACACCTGCAGTAATGAAAACCTTACACATCCACAACACCACCTGCTACATAAACTGACCCACTCCCCCCAACACACCTGCTATCATAACCTTACCCACTCCCCAACACACCTGTACATAAAACCTTACCCACTCCTCCCAACACACCTGCACATAAACCTTACCCGACTCCCCAACAACCTGCCCTACATAAAACCTTACCCACTCCCCCAAACATCCGGCTACATAACCTACCCACTCCGAACAACACACCTGCTACATAAACCTTACCCACTCCCCCCAACACACCTGCTACATAAACTACCCACTCCCCCAACACACCTGCCCTACATTAAAACCTTACCTCCACTCCCCCCAACACACTGCCTTACATTAAACCTTACCCCTCGCCCAACACACCTGCTACATACACGCTTACCACTCCCCCCAACCCCTGCTACATAAAACCTTACCACTCCCCCAACACACCTGCTACATAAACCTTTACCCACTCCACCAACACACCTGCTACATAAACCCTTACCTCACTCCCCCAACACACCTGTCAATAACCATTACCCACTCCCCCAACACACCTGCCTACATACATTTGATACGCACTCCCCCAACAGGCACCTGGCTAGCATAAACTTACCACGTCCCCCCAGATCACACCTCTACATAAACCTGCCTAGCCCACTCCCCCCAACACACCTTGCTACATAAAGACCTTTACCACTCCCCCCAACACACCTGCTACATAAAACCTTACCCCTCCCCCAACACACCTGCCTACATAAAGCGCCTTACCACTTTCCGCCCAACACAGCCTGCTACAATTAAAGCCTTACCACTCCCCCCATAACACACCTGCCTACATAAACTTACCACTCCCCCCAACACACCTGCCCTACATAAACCTTACCCACATCCGCCCAACACACCTTGCTACATAAAACCTTACCCCACTCCCCAAATCACACCTGCTGACATAAACCTTACCCACTCCCCCAACACACCTGCTGCTACATATAAACGCTTACCCACTCCCCCCACACACCTGCTACAATTAAACCTCTCACCACTCCGCCCAAACACACCTGCCCCCCTACATAAAACCTTACCCACTCCCCCAACACGACCTGCCTACATAAACCTTACCATCCCCCAACACACCTGCTACATAAACCTTACCACCCCCCCCCCAACACACCTGATAACATAAACCTTATCCACTCCCCCCCCAACACACCTGCTACAATACAAACCTCTCACCCCCCCCCAACAACCTGCTACAAAACCTGACCACTCCCCCCCAACCACACTGCCTCATTAAACCTTACCCCCCCCAACCACACCTGCTACATAAACCTTACCCACTTCCCCAGACACACCTGCGTACGATAAAACCTACCCCTCCCGCCAACACGACCTGCTACATAAACCTTACCCACTCCCCCCAACCACACCTGGCTATCATAAACTTTTTCACCCACTCCCCCCCAACACACCTGCTACATAAACCTTACCCACTCCCCCCAACACACCTGCTACATAAACCCTACCACTCCCCAACACACTGCCTACATAAACCTTACCCACTCCCCCAACAACCTGCTATCAAACCTTACCCACTCCCCCCAACACACCTGCTACATAAACCTTACCCACTCCCCCACACACCTGCTACATAAAACCTTATCCCACTCCCCCAACCACCTTCCTACATAAACCTTACCCACTCCCCCAATCACGACCTGCCTACATAAACCTTACCCACTCCCCCCAACACACCTGCTACATAAACCTTACCCACTCCCCCCAACACACCTGCTACATAAACCTTACCCACTCCCCCCAACACACCTGCTACATAAACTTACCACTCCACCCAACACACCTGCCTACTAAACCTTACCCACTCCCCCAACACACCTGCTACATAAACCTTACCCACTCCCCCCAACACACCTGCTACATAAACCTCACCCACTCCCCCCAACACACTGCACATAAACCTTACCCACTCCCCAACACACTGCTACATAAACCTTACCCACTCCCCCAACACACCTGCCCTACATAAACTTACCCACTCCCCACAAACACACCTGTACATAAACTTACCCCCCCCCCGCATAAGCTCACCTACTTCACTTCCCGCCCCCCGTTACACAAAAGCTAAAGACTCCCACCCACATCACCTCCCACCCCACCCCCACCTAGCTACATAAAGCTCCCACCCCACGTCACCTCCCACCCCACCCCCCCATTAACACATGAATGATGTTGATGTGTAGACGCTCGCGCATGACACGAGCTCACAACAAATGTCTCCTGTCACCAGAGTCAGCATGCGTCTGTCACCGACCAGTACCCCCATGACAATACATGTATATATATATATATATATATACATACATGTATATATACATATATATATATATGTGTGTACACATATATATATGTATATATACATACATGTATATATACATATATATATGTACACATATATATATGTGTGTACACATATATATATATCAGGGGTTAATAATGGCAAATTTGTCATTGTTAACCCCTGATATATAATATATATATACATGTATATAAAATATATACACAAGGGGCGTCTAAATATAACACATGTCTATACTGTTTGTGCATGCAAAGTTGAGTGTGCATACGTATAAAGACACGAGATGAGTGACGTATGAGTGACGTATACCTTACAAGTTATAATCAGTGTTGGAAATAGCATCACCCTAACCCCCCTCTGTCCCCCCCAGTCTGGGACCGGTAAACTTTGAGGAGGACAAGTTCATTTTTACGGGCTTTTCTCTAACATATATTTTCGTAATCAGGACTAGGCTTTCGTGATGATTTCCAAGACTGTTATATTCGGTAGTAAAAGATGAACACGTAACACGATGTTAGTTTGCATGTATGGTGACAGTAGTTAGTGAGATTACATGAGAGAGAAACATGCACGCACACATACACACGGATGGGTGAAGATAGAGAGTGAGACAGAGAGAGAGAGGATGGGAGAGAGAGAGAGAGAGAGAGAGAGAGAGAGAGAGAGAGAGAGAGAGAGAGAGAGAGAGAGAGAGAGAGAGAGAGAGAGAGAGAGAGAGAGAGAGAGAGAGAGAGAGAGAGAGAGAGAGAGAGAGAGAGAGAGAGAGAGAGAGAGAGAGAGAGAGAGAGAGAGAGAGAGAGAGAGAGAGNTCCCGCCCCTCCCTCTCCTCTCTCTCCCCTCTTCGTCTCTCTCTCTCTCGCTCTCTCTTTCTCGCCTACTCTCTCCGCCATCTCTCCAGCTCGTCTTCAAACCCTCGCCCACTCCCCGCTCTCTCACATATCCTCACACTCTCGTCCTAAAACCCTTAACCGTCTCCGTCCGCCCTCTGCTCGCCCCCTCTCCCTCTCTCCTCTCCCTGACTCGCATTCAAAAGACTCACTCTCTCGTCTCTCCTCGTCAGCTCGGCTCAGCATCTCATCGTCTCATCGTCTCGCGCATTGGCTCTCCGTCTCTCTCCCTACTCCACTCCCCTTTCGCTCTCTCGCCCCCCGGTTTAACCCCAAAGCCCCGACGCCTACCAATCACCGGTCGCTGCCCTATCCCTCTCTCCGCATCTCGTCGAATTGTTCCCGCGACCCCCATACTACGCACATTCACAACGCTCCCAAACTCACCCCTTCTCAGAGCGCTCCACCTCGCTCTCTCCCACCCCACTCCTCCCCGCCCATTAAACACATGAAGCGTGATTGTGAGTGTGTAGACTGCCTTCTCGCGCAGGGACAGCGCAGCCAACAACGAAAATGTCTCCTGTCACCAGAGTCAGCCATGCGTCGTCGACTCCGGAACTTCAGTACCCCATGACAAAGCATCCATGTATAACTTCACTTATATATATATATACATACATGTCACTACGATACACACTATATAATATATGATGTTTACCTACATATAACTACGTATAATATACAATACATTGTAATATATAACCATATATTATAATGTACCAATCATATATCACTATCTGTGTTGTCAACATATACTATATCTAGTCTCAGGGGTTAATAAATGGCAATATCTTGTTCCCCATTGTTAACCCTCTGATAATAGATATATTACTATAACCCCATGTAATATACAAATATTATACATCAGACTCGGGGCGTCAATACTAACAAGTATTCCTATACTGTTTGATGCGGCATGCAAAGTTGACGTTGTCCTGCATACCGTAAATAACAGACACGAGATGTAACGTGACCGTAGCAGTGAGATCCTCTATCACCATTTACAAGTTAATAATGGCAGTTGTCTGAAATAGCATCAAACCCTCTCTGATCTAAACCCCCCTCTGTCCCCCCAGTCTGGACCTGCTGGCTAACTTTGTAGGAGGACACAGGTTACATTTCAACTGCTCTCGGCTTTCTCTATGAACATATATTTTCGTAATCAGGACTAGTGCTTTCGTGATGATTTCAAGATCGTTATATCTCGGGTAGTAAAAGATGAACACGTAATCCACGATGTTCGTTTGCATGTATGGTTGACAGCTCACAGTTTAGTGCGAGATTACATGAGAGTACGAAACATCATCGAAACACATCTACAACTACGGATGGGATGAAGTATAGCACGAGTGAGACAGAGAGAGAAGGAGCGGGAGACGAGAGAGAGAGAGAGAGGAGAGAGAGAGAGAGAGAGAGAGAGCAGAGAGAAGAGAGAGAGGCTGGGAAGAGAAGAGAGAGAGAATGAGAGAGAGGAGAGGGTAGAGAGAGAGAGAGAGAGAGCGAGGAGAGAGAGAGAGAGAGAGAGAGAGTAGACGAGAGAGCGACCAGGAGAGAGAGAGAGATCAGTAGAGATGGGATCACGAGAGAATGAAAATCCGCGACGAAACGTACAAATGTACAATTATCGCAGCAACGTTGAGCGACGCTCGCGTCTCGTACGGCAACACTAGCCAACACTAGCCAACACTAACCAACACTAGCCAACACTAGCGTCAGCAAGGTATATTCGAGGACTACAGTAAATGTCGGCGAAGGCAAGGCATCAATAACTACTTCCACACGCACGCAGTGGAGACGCATGCAGTGGCAATCAGACCTCATTCCATGTCCTGAGAGAGAGAGAGAGAGAGAGAGAGAGAGAGAGAGAGAGAGAGCGCGTGGCAGGATGCACTGCAAACCACCAGCGAAAACCTACCTACACGTAAAATTCCCACGACCACAGCGACACCCCAAGAATCAAAAAAAAAAAAACGTCGTGCGAGAAAGAGAGAGACCGCGCCCGTGTGGGGCGGGGGAGGAGGAGGAGGAAGGGAACCAGCTCCCCGCGGAGACCCCTCATGCCCCCCCGCGGTGACCCCTCATGCTCCCCCGGCGAGGACACCGCCCGTGCCTTCCTTGAACCTCAGAAACCCGGCGGCATGATCAGACATGATGCAGTCGTTGCCATCCTGGATTGTAGTCCGTCATTAGTTCTGCGGAAGCTGTGCGATTTTTAACCCCCGCAATACTGCTGCTAATGGGGGGTTGGACGCGTGTTATGCGTATATTACATTATGCACGTGTGAGTCAGTGCTGTTACGATATACTACTATCGTTGTTATCGTTATGTATATTACCATTATTAACGTTATTCATATAATCATTATTATCGTATTAATTATCATTATTATTATTATATGTCGCTATTATAAGCATGAACGATTGATTAAGCATGATTTTATTATTGCGATGTTTGATTTTATTGGGAGCATTATTAATATTAAGTCTAGTTTGAGTTATAAATGGCCAATTGCACAGGATTAAAATTGATTCGGATGTACAAGGAGACGTTGTTTTTTCAGGCTAGTTGTTTTAAGATAGCAGTTAGATAGCATTTAAAGAATTAACCGCTCCCAGAAAAAATATATCAAAAGCGTTTCCGACGATGGACCTACACAGATGTATAGCACTTATGAAGATGAGGTTTATGGACGAAGACTGCAAAACGCTGTTATATTAGTAATCTAGCTGCCTTTGCTATAAAAATCAAAAATAGAAACCTCACATCTGCGCTGAGTGTACGTTAGACTATTAAGACTGAGTAGACTATTAACTGGTGAGGAATAGAGGTAGTGTTGGGGTATAGATGGTACTACAGGGTAAATCTGAACTATGTAGTAGTAGTAGTGTGTTAGTGTCGACAGTCTCTGTGCAAACGACTACTCGTCATTCTATGTTAATTCCGGGGACCGATTAGTACAAAGCGTGAAGTCGATATACGTACAATCGCCACCAATAAACCGAAATGTATTTTAGGAAACATCTGCGTCCGCGCGTGCGAGTCAACACGCCATGGTTGGCAGTCGTACTCAGAAATGATTATATTCACCGCAGTAAAAATTATTTAACCGCGGTTAAATTATAGCCCTTTTACCCAATCAGAGGCTTTGACACATAATTTAACCGCGGATAAATTATTTTTACCGTTTATAAATCACCGGCGTTAGTCGCTCTGACATCACGGATGCGGCGCGTGAGGGGCGACTGTACGTATAACGGCTCCTCGAAAAGCTGCCCGCCACCACGTGTAATTAAAGCACACCACAACTACCAGAGCTGCTCACTCCACACTGACTATCGCTAACAGACTGCAACATGCCACCTGCCACTAGAGGGCGACACGGTAAAGCATAACAGACCCCCATGTATGCCGCAGACGACAAGGACATCAGGGATATCTTCCTCGTAGGACCCGTCGATATCAAGTGACTGCCACCGCTGAGCATTGCCGGTACAGATATCTTCCTCCTGAGAGTTGGCATGGTGTGCGAGGGCACCAGGGTGGAGCCCTGGGAGCGTTGTTGTTGTTGTTGTTGTTGTTGTTGTTGTGGCGATGGTTGTTGGGTGTAAAACCGTGAGGTGGAGGCAGTGCGAGGCAGGCTCGGTGACTCACTGGGCACGACAACAGACCTAGATGCCTATAGTCAGCAGAGAACACAGAAGCAAACACAAACATGAAACACAAGAAACAATAGCGAGTGCGCGTGCGCGTGCGTACACACACACGCTCGACGATTCCACCGTCGTGTGTACGTGAATGCTTTCTCTTCTGTATCTGAAAGCATGCAAAGCTTACGAACAGCAGACTTTGATAGATGCACAATTTAACATTTACCTGTAACAATATATCGTAAAGGATAACATTGTTCAAGTCCGCAGCATTATTGTTAGTTAACTTTGGCTTCGACCTAGGCTGCGTTTAAATATTCACCGTTCAATATCAAATAAATGAATCAGTGAATCATCAATGAATAATAACTTACTAAAACCCTGATTCAAGTAATGACCGGCATGTTCGATCTGCCTCTCTCTCTCTCTCTCTCTGTTGTCACTGTTGTTTATTACTGCACGTGCAACAACGGAAACTTTCTCATGATGAAAACGATCAAGGACAGAAATATTTCAGTTTTTTCTCCTTCTTTCAGATAAGTATCTTATTACATACAGTAATACTATACTACTAGCTTTTACGGGCAATGAGTTTGTCAATAGATAAATATATTATTTATCCCTTATAAGTACCCAGTGTATAATGCACGAAACCTAAAATTAATGCTTTGAATTTAAATTAATTTTCAAATTTTGATTAAAGCATTGTATGTCATAACCAGAAGAGGCAGTACAGTGACATTCACTTACACACTTATTATTTGTTTTTATCAGGATTTTAGTCATTGATTATTGATTGATATTGCAGTGAAAATTAGTACGTAGCCAATAAAGCCAAATTTAGCTAAAAATAATAATACTGAAATGTCATCCTTTTGCACATCGATTATAAAGAATTTTATATAGCTAACAAATGAACGAAAATACAATTAAATGATAAGCACAAGTAAGAATAATATATGTACAAACTGAAAGTCAACATATATAGCACACACATATACAATAAATATTTCACAGTAGAAATTTACAGAGATAATATAATGCGAGACACATGAGCCCAAAGGAAAATTTAAACACATTTACGTTCTAACAACCAAGCAAGTATTGCACTGAACACACAAATCTATAAGCATATTCTATCTAGATCACTAGTTCTAGGGTTGAATCTAGCAGAAGCACCTGCATGTGCAAGGGAGGTGCAGAACCACTCATACTAACCCGCGTGAAAATCGTCGAGTGTTAGCTAATAAAATACTGATTAAAAGTGCAAACAGTTCGAATGACTGCAACCAAGAGAACTAGGAGATTATGTAGATTGATGGAGATGTAGATTATGTAGATGGATGGAGATGAGATATGTTTCTGCCACTGTTGATACGTGTTGCACTGTGTACGGTCACAGTGGAGGCAGCCTGTCATACAAACGCATCCACTGTCCCATCGTCTTTATTCACTGCATGACAGATCTTGACATTCTAACACTAGCGGGGTAACCGATCTAGAGTGAGCTTGTTAAAAAAACCACAAGTTCTGATAGAATCAGGTCTGCAAATGAGTAAGTAAAAGCTTAGGGTTGAAGTTTCACGACGACACTGACAGCAAGTGTTATGTAGCACTTTCTCTCCTTACTTGCTGTCGTTGACCCCCCCCCCCCCTTACTCACTGTAAAGCCCCTCTAAAATAAGAAGATACCAATAGCCTGCCATCACTACCCTACATGATTGACCTCCTTACCCTTCACATAAATGCCATGTAGTGTATTTATCTTTCTTAAAAGCCAACATAAATATTTTGGGTAAAAAAAAATTCTTCTTCTCGGGTTACTACACTACGCTCGACCTAGCCACTGTAACACACAGGACCTGACACGGTGGTTGAAAACCTCAACGTCACCAGGTCTACAGGGCTCTAACAATAGAGAGCATTCCAGGAGATGCCCGGTAAAAAGCAAGTGGCCCTGATAACCCTTCCTTGAGGAAAAAGTCCACCTTGGTTCCCCCTCCAACTTGCCGCGGTGCCCTAAAATCTCAGATTCAACGAAGGCCGACCCTTTCTTCTCTCTCTCTAATTCTAATCGGCAGCCTTCAAGGTTAGTGAGCCGAGCACAAATGCGCACACAGCTCCATTATAGCTTCAAATATTCCAGTGTAGCTTCGAGGAGGTAATCGGGAAACACACGCTCTGTCTTACGGACGGGCGGACGGGGTAAGGGAGCAAAGATTGTGGGTGCAGACACGATCGCAGCGCGTACACAGCAGTGACGTGCACACACGTTCTCGTGACGTCATGAACGAGGCCGGGGGTTGACACCAGCCACGCCCTGCCGTGACGACGACGATGGTGACGTCACCGCACGAGTTCCACGGCCGCTCGCTCATGGTCGAGGAAGACAGACGATGTAAGGTGAACCCAACGAGCACGCGCGACAGCAAACTCACGCGATAACTTGACGTGAAATAGACACGAGATTGTAAACATGAACAGTGACAGCGATTCGCAGCCAACACTATAATATAATTAAGGAGAGGGTTGAATAATTAATTAGGATAAAATCGAGATGAGTACAAACTAAAAAAATCTTTTCTAGAAACAAATACAATGAGTGAATCGACTCAAGCCTTTCACCAAAGAACACCCTGTGAAAACACCCCATAAAAAACACCCTGTGAAAACACCCCGTGAAAACACCCCGTAAAAACACCCCGTAAAAACACCCCGTGAAAACACCCCGTAAAAACACCCCGTAAAAACACCCCATGAAAACACCCCATGAAAACACCCTGTGAGTGATTCGCAGCCGACACTATAATTAAAGAGAGGGACAAAATCAAGATAAATACACGAATAATATAGATATAATATATAGATATAAATACAAAGAATTTTTTCTAGAAACAAATACAATGAGTGAATCGACTCAAGGCTTTCACCAAAAAACCCTCGTGAAAACACCCCGTGAGTGAATACTCGTAGGATGGTTGCATTTCCGAGATGAAGGAAAGACTGTGGAACCGCGACCCCCTACCTTGAACGGCTCCTTCCGCTTCCGGAAGATGTAGCGAACAAACTCGTCCTGTAGCGCCTCCTGGTGGATGAGACTCAACCACAGACGCTTGATCGGCAACGCGGCTTTATGTCTCGATCTGCGATCATTAATTTACTAGTTAATTGATCAACAGATTTAAAATTTTATTCTCGCAAAAATATTTTGCGATTCATACACATGTTGCAACAGATAAAATACTAAACTGATGAATCACCACCATCAGTAAGACGCACGCACGCACGCACGCACGCACGCACGCACAAGATACATGTATACTTGCATGCATTCATGTCTCTCTCCCTCCCTCTTTCTCTCTCTCCTGCCCTATCTATCTATCTCTCTCTCTCCCTATCTATCTATCTCTCTCTCTCCCTCAGTCCCTCTCTCTCCCTCACCCTCCCTCCACCCCCTCTCTCTCACTTACTTGAACGGGGTGTTGTGAGGCTCCAACATGGCGCGATACTTGTTGATGAACGGACTGTCATGCGGCACGCTCGTGTCAACGAAGCAGTTCGGTATGTAGTTATCCGGCGGGCCATCGAACATCAACATCTTCTCAACGCAGTATAGTTCCTGCCATCGCTCCAGCGTGTGTAGTAGGCTACAGACTAGCGGTGAGAGCACAGGCAGCTCTGTACAGTAACGGGAAGGAGAAGAGAGAGAGAGAGAGGTTAGTGATGGAGCAGCAGCAGTAGTTCTGCCATCGCTCAGCGTGTGTAGTAGGCTACAGACTAGCGGTGAGAGCACAGGCAGCTCTGTAACAGTAACGGGGAAGGAGAGAGAGAGAGAGAGAGGTTAGTGATGCAGCAGCAGTTAAAATTAAAGAAAAATCCTGACGCGCTATTTTGGTCCATATTGTGCTTAACATGTGGCAAAAATTTTGTATTCTCACTCTTTCTGGTAATTGAGAAATATCCAAAATACCATTTTTACATAAAAATTCAAAATTTGTGTGGGAGCATAATTAGGTGCTGGAAATTTCATGAAATTTTTTGGCTTGAGCATAGAGATATATTCCTCTATAAATAAAACAAGTGATTGATTCGATTCATTCGCCAATAAACGTTTAATCTTCACTAGAGCAATACCCGTGCAAAAGGTGGAGAGTATCCTTAATGTCAGGAACATAATATCAAATCGTCCAGGTTTTTTGGATTTTTAACTAGTTAATATACAATCTTATCAGGTAAGAATTTAACGATACGTTTAGTCCCGTTAGTTCTTACTTTTAATGTAAAAAAATGGCAACAAAAATTTTACAAATTTTACCGTAGAAAATTCGTGACGTAGTCAATTCGACGACGCTAGCGCACGCGCGCGTACGTACCGGTGAGGTCCAGGCCGGGGATGGGAAGGAATCGCTCCAGGTTCCTCAGTACCAGCTTCACGATCGCAAACCTCATGAGACACCAGCTGTACGAGTTAGGATCGGAGTGTTCGCAACATTCCACCTGTAAACGTCGAAGACAGGTAGTTGGTAGTGTAGTCGCGCGAAATTTTTAAAGTTAAGCTGTAAAAACTCAAGAATAAGACAAAAATAATGCACAATGATATTTACTCATGAGCGATATTTCAAGCGCAAGTTTCAGGCTCTCTCCGAACAAATTCAAAACATTCTCACAACAGTCTTTCAGACAACATCCCAAACGTTGTATTGACGTATATTTTTTTTAAACTGTGACCTAATATCCTAAATGTGAACACTCTAAATGCTCCCATCCAAGTGTCTAACAAACTCACACACGCACGCACGCACGCACGCACACACGCACGCACGCACGCACGCACACACACACCACTATCTTAAACAATAGACACAGATACTGATGACAATAGTGCTTCGTCTTTACTTTATGAAAAGACAAACTAGCAGCAGCAACAGCAGCAGCAGCAGCAGTAGCAGCAGTAGCAGCAGCAGTAGCAGCAGCAGCAGCAGCAGCAGTAGCAGCAGTAGCAGCAGCAGTAGCAGCAGTAGCAGCAGCAGCAGTAGCAGCAGTAGCAGCAGCAGTAGCAGCAGTAGCAGCAGCAACAGCAGCAGCAGCAGTGACGACGGCACTGACAACGAGTGCGACGCTGCATGTGCGAGCGACCGTGGCGGCCATGGCTGAGCATCGACGCGCTGCTTACCTTGGGCTGGTCCATGCCCAACTTGTCATCATCCTCCTCCTCAGGCTCCGAATCACTGCTAGGCAGCGACTCATCCGAATCGTAGTCTATCTCCTTCAGCTTCTCTAGTTCGCTGGGCTGTAGACAACAACAACAACAACAACAGCGTCACACACACACGGTGATGGCAAGTACCTGATGATATCAGGTCCATCAATGATATTAAACATTATTATAATATTAAGGCCGTGGCTACCCGGATGCCCAGCTACCAGGCTACGCGTCCAGTCATATATTTCTTATGTGAACCCAACTATATTTTGTCCAGTAAAAACAATAAACAATAAGTTTTTACCATAATATTACTTACCTTTAGGTATTTTATCAAAAAATGTATTTTTGTAACTTTTGAAGCAATAGTAAATCCAGTAAAATTAACGATTTGAAAGGGGGCGTGGCCTAATCGTGACGTGGATTTTGGAATCTGTGCTGAGCTTTGTAATGGATGACCGGACGCGTAGCCATCCACTTCGTAACACACGTTCATGGACCCACTTCGTAATATTAAATACCACCCAAATTATACATTGTGTATACATGAGCAATACTGTTATTATGTTATTACATGACATAAACTGTACATTGTGTATACGTAAGCAATGCTACAGCTTACTGTGATTATATTATTACATGTTATAAATTGTACGTTGTATATATATGTATTGTACAGCTTACTGTTATTATATTATTACATCGTATAAATTGTACGTTGTATATATATGTATTGTACAGCTTACTGTTATTATATTATTACATGGTATAAATTGTACGTTGTATATATATGTATTGTACATGCGCACTGTTATTATATTATTACATAGTATAAATTGTACGTTGTATATATATGTATTGTACATGCGCACTGTTATTATATTATTACATAGTATAAATTGTACGTTGTATATATATGTATTGTACAGCTTACTGTTATTATATTATTACATGGTATAAATTGTACGTTGTATATATATGTATTGCACAGCTTACTGTGATTATATTATTACATAATATAAATTGTATGTTGTATATATATGTATTGTACATGCGCACTGTTATTCCGTTACTGGCCTTATCGCACCACACATGTAAAGATTTCAGGGAACATGCGGGAGGACTGCTGCTATAGTTTACAGCCGTGTGTTTGACTTTTGACCTTTTCGTACCTTTGACATCAGGAAGCTGGCAATGCTGGTTTCTGGAGGAAGAAACTGCTCTTTGTACGCTGGCTTCTCAGATACGGCAGGCTCTACCGGGGTCTGCTGCTGTTGCTGCTGCGGCTACACAAACAAACACAAGAACATCTCACATAGATCATGCCAACGATTTGGATCAAATCACAATCACCGTGATAATGATGCTCATGCAGGGTGCGAAATTAACGGGAGTCCGGAGTCAAATTATTCCCTGATTTACTGTCGGACTCCCTGATTTGACATATGCAAGAGTCCGCGTGACTCCCTGAAAATTCTGCTATAATAACTAGTTCGTTCCAGAGCACGGCCTCGCGGAATGTTTCAGTATTAAAATTCCCAAAGAAAATTTGGCAGACGTGCAACCTCATGAACCTTCAAAATAAGCACATGCGTTATTGTTAATATCTTTAGTTTTTAACTTCAGACTGCGGACTCTCTCTTTTTGAGGGCAGGGAGTCCGTTGGACTCCCTTGTTCACAAGTTAAATTCTACCCCTGCTCATGATATCACGTATACAAGCGTAAAACCGTTACTGTCATCGAACAACACAAAAATACAGCCAAAATATTTCTCGCATCAATGAAATAATGGATTCATCCATGTTACGTTAATAAATGTCTTAATTAGCCATGGTATGGGTGGTAGTACAGGAGCTAAGCGATATAATTGCGCACTTTTTGGCAAGTGTGAAATCTGGCACAATAGGTAGTTTAAGAGATGTACATTTATATGAGATCGGAGACCCATCTTCATCGGCATGGTATCTGGCCACCATATTGAGTTTAAAAATGACCGCTATCAAAATCCATTAGATTATGCTTCATTTTTATATGCACGCTTCTAATCACATCACATTTGCAAAATGAACGAACCATAATTCAAAACAAAAATTTAACAATACTAATACGACATAAACCTGTAAACAGACCGTAACTAAACAATCGCGAGGGAAGACGACACGCATCGTTAGCGTTTAACGAGGCAGGTGCGTTAACGAGAGGGATCGCGTACCTGGTACGTCACGTTGCCTCCTGACAGAAACTTCATGTGCAGGTTGACACGCTTCTTCTTCTCATGGTCAGAATCACTGACGAGCCGTGTCCCTGCAGCAGACGCACACGCAATCTTACACACGCAAACTTACACACGCAATCTTACACACGCAATCTTACACGCTCAATCTTACACACGCAATCTTACACACACAATCTTACACACGCAATCTTACACAGGCAATCTTACACATGCAATCTTACACAGGCAATCTTACACACGCAATCTTACACATGCAATCTTAGTATTATTTTACACACGCAATCTTACACATGCAATCTTACACATGCAATCTTACACATACAATCTTACTAGTGTTGTCAATATGTTGTAATTTCGTACACGCATGGCCAGGGATGATGTGATGGATTGTGTCACATTCCGCGCGACGTGGGATATGTGTATGGCAATATGGACAAGTATGGATATTGTGTATGGCATATGGCAAGTATGGATATTGTGTATGGCATACATGGCAAGTATGGATATTGTATGGGATAATGCCAAGTATGAATATTGTGTAGAAGCATATGTCAATGTATGAATATTGTGTATGGGCATATGGGGCAAGTATGGATATTGTGTATGGCATATGGCAAGTATGGATATTGTGTAATTCATATGGCAAGTATGGATATTGTGTATGGAATATGGGCAAGTATGGATATTGGTGTATGGCATATGGCAAGTATGGTATTGTGTAATCGGCAATATGGGCAAGTATTGGATATTGTGTGTGGCATATGGCAAGTATGGATATTGGGTGCATGGAATATGAACAAGAATTTAACGCATGAAGCATGAAGCGCATATAGAATTAACGACACGATTCATTAACACATGCACCAGTACATCGCCGCACACACACGACACTCACTGTAGAGAGGCAAGCGACAAACTTACTACTGGCGCGCGCGGCAGCGACACGCTTTCAAAGCAGCTTTTGACATCCGCCGCCGAACAGCATGTCGCACATTCCCTCCTCCATGCGGTGCGAGACGAGCCGGTAGAGGGCGCCGGCGTCGTTACGGTCGTCAGAACGTGCGCGGAGCAATGCTCAGGTAAGACGGCGGTGAACGCCTCGCTGAGCAGGACCGGTGGGACGCGGGGTGATGGTGGCAGCGTGTCCTGCTGCTCGCGCTCGCGGCTGAGGGCGCGCGGAGGGGCCTGCGTGCCGGGCCAGCGCGCGGTGGGCTGACGTGGCGGCCTTGGATCGTGTAGTCACGCTGCGTAAGCGCGCTTCTTCCACTTGGGCTGCGTCATGAGGTAGCTGTGCGCTGGTAGAAGACGACTCGAACTGCCTGTGCTGCGATGACGGGCGTGTGGCAGAGAGAGAGAGAGAGAAAGCTCAGTTAGTAGTAATAGATGATGATGATGATGATGATGATGATGATGTTGATACATAATATATATATATATGTGGTGATGATTTTTATCATCATTGTTATATATGCATATATATATAAACATATATAACAATGATGACAAAAATCATCATCATCATCATCATCATCATCATCATATAATGATAACAATTGATAACAACGATCATCATCATCATCACCATCGTCATCATCAGAGAAAGTGCTCACATAATCTCAACAATAATCACGATAATAATAACAACAACAATGACAACACTTACAAACTGCGCGAACAAGTTACAAACTGTCAGCTACTCACCTCGTGAATCCCTCCATGCCCACGTCATACTTCATAGCTGCTGCGGGGGCGGGGGGGGGAGGGAGGGCAGGGGGTCAGCTACTCACCTCGTGAATCCCTCCATGCCCACGTCATACTTCATCGCTTTCACCGTGAAGCTGTCGCTGTCGCACAGGCTCTGGTAGATGCACGCCGACAGCGCCGCCGCCAGGGTGCGCTGCGTCAGCACCTTGCGCAGCTTGTAGTCGTAGTCCGGCGGGACGTCGAACTCGTGCAGCGTGCGCAGGATGTCGTGCGTGAGGTTCTGCAGGTGCCGTATCGGGTTGACCATCACCGTCTTGTGGCTGACGATGAGCGCGGACACGAGCGGGAGGGTCGTGGGGAAGGGGAGAGGAGAGAGGAGCTGCTGCTGAGTCTTCTCCTGCTGCAGCTCCTGCAGTAACAGCGTCAACTCCATCCGCACCTGTCACAGACACAGACACAGACAAGGTCAAATCAAAGTCAAATAATAAAAAGAAAAGAAAACATCAGTTTTAAAAACAAACAAACAAAAACAAAAAAACAAACAAAAACAAGGAAAAAACAGGAATATGGGACACAGTTCCTGTGTAATAGGAACTTACATGTATCTATAGATAGTGTCAGGTAGGTATCAGTCAGGCACGCGCCGCAGATCACAGTCATGAATGACCTCATGTGTAATAGTATGTTAATAATAATTCACAATGTGCTCGTGTGTACGTACGTGTGTGTGCAGATTGTGTGATCGTGTGATGTTGTGAACGATGGGACACCACTGTCGTGTACTCGTGTGTGTATTAGAAACCTATACGTATGTGTATACATGTAGTTATGCTATAGATGTCGTTAGTTGTTTATAGGGACCTCATGGCGACAATAATGGCGATGAAACTGTAATGAAACTAAAATAAATCATAATAACTGAGATGAATAATACATGGATGACTGATATATGTTTGGGAAAGTAATTCATAAGCCTTCTAAACATGGAGGAGGATGAAGGAAGAAGAGGAGGAAGAGGGGGAGGAGCCTCACCGATGCCAGCCCGCCGCCGTGCGATCCGTGGAGACTACAGAAGCTGAGCAGCATCTGTGGAGGAGGAGGAGGTAGAGGAGGAGCAGGAGAAGAGGAGGAGCAGCAGGAGGAGGAGTAAGAGGAGCCTCACCGATGCCAGCCCGCCGCCGTGCGATCCGTGGAGACTACAGAAGCTTAGCAGCATCTGTGGAGGAGGAGGGAAGTAGAGGAGGAGCTGGAGAAGNTGGCATATGGCAGTATGGATATTGTGTACGGCATATGGCAAGTATGGATACGCGCCACACGACACTCACTGTAGAGAGGCAGCGACACTTACTCTGCGGCGGCGGCAGCGACACCTTCAGCAGCTTCTTGACTCCGCCGCCGAACAGCATGTTCCACATCCCCTCCTCCATGCGGTGCGAGACGAGCCGGTAGAGGGCGCCGGCGTCGTACGTCGTCAGGCCGTGCGCGAGCATGCTCAGGTAGACGGCGGTGAACGCCTCGCTGAGCAGGACGGTGGGACGCGGCGTGTCCTGCTGCTCGCGCTCGCGGCTGAGGAGCGCGCGGAGGGGCTGCGTGCCGGGCCAGCGCGCGGGCGCTGACGTGGCGGCCTTGATCGTGTAGTCACCGCTGCTGTAGCGCGCCTTCTTCCACTTGGGCTGCGTCATGAGGTAGCTGTCCTGGTAGACGACTCCCGTGCTGCAATGACGCGTGGGGCAGAGAGAGAGAGCGAGAGAGAGAGAGCTCAGTTAGTAGTAATAGATGATGATGATGATGATGATGATGATGATGAT